GACATAGACGCAAGGGTTTTCCCTTACTAATGTTTAGGCTTAAGTCTTTTACTGACTTAATGGAGGGCAAGGTGTCTGAAAAGCATCTCATTAGTATGGTCTATTACTTCTTTTCTCTATAATATATATCCTATATTCTATATCGTATTATGTCTTTATACTGTTTTCAATTTTAACTCATTTTCACTTTTAGATGTCATTGGTAGAGTGGTCGAGTACTACACTCCCAAAGAGATTGCTGGATTTCCTTCTAAGTTGGTGGATTTTCTCATAGAAGATGGGCAGTAAGTGTTTTTTTCTTATACTTTTCTGTACAGATCTATAAAACTGAGAATTGAATCCAGGCCACTGTTTAGTGCCTTCACTCTTTCACTTTGATCAGTGTTTTAATTAAACCTGTATTTCACTGAAATTTTATAAAACTAAAATTGCATAATCATTCTATGTATTAAAATCTGTGATAGTAGACTAAAATCCTATAAGAAAATGTTAGTCAAATCATAATTGTATATCAAGCAATTTTAATAAAATGGCTATAATTCAAAATATACTTATCTTTTTCACATTGATAGTCTTCTGCTATTTGAAAATACCATACTGATAATATGTATTAAAATCTGTCATTGTAGAAGAAAATCGTATAAGTAAATGTTATTAAACTAATAATTGGATATCAAGTAATTTGACTATCTTTTGCAAAAGATACTTATCTTTTTCACAATGCAAGTCTTGTGCTTTTTGAAAGTCAAAACTGAAATTGGTGGTTTTTCACTATATTATCCCAGTAGGACAGATTCAGAGCAGTCTACTGTTTAATAGAATCAATTAGACCACCTTTAGTTGTAGGGTAGTTACACTTGCAGTAAGTGGTTATATTCTATAAGCAAACTATCATTAAGCCATCAACTCATTATAAATTTAGAGAGTACAATATATTTGATCTACTTACAATCTGTTCATCTCACTTTTAGGGGCAATCGTCTTAAGTGTACTGTTTGGGATCAACATGTTGCTACAGCCATGCATTATTTCAAGACACACGTGGAAGGGCCTTTGATTGTTTTACTCCAACTCTGTAGAGCAAAAAAAGTGGATAGTAAGTGCATGATATCTTATTCATTAACATCTAATTCAATATTTTTTAACACTTATCTTTTTCTCAATTTGTAGATGAGTTCAGAATTTCATCCTCCTACAATGCAACCCAGTTATGGTTTAATCATCCTTGCAGAGAATTCCATGAATTTAAAGACAGGTAATTACACACAATACTGATTTTGAAACATGTAATCTAGATCAACAAGTTGAATATTTTTTTTCTTTAATATGCAGTTTGAAAGTGGATACCAGGCCACCTCTAAGTGTGCAAACTGTGTCTCACATTTCTTATGGCAATCCTGCTGAAAGTTCCAAATCTCCTATGATAGTAACAACTATCAAAGATCTGTATGAAAGAGCCGAGGTACAATTTAAATTCTCAAAATCTTAACCTTCTATTTTTTTCTTTTTATTCCTAAATCTTCAACTTCAATTTTAATTATTCTCTACTAACAGGAAGGCTACTACTGGATTCCTGGAAGGATTGTTTCTGTGGAGAGTACTACAAATTGGTATTACCATTCATGCCGGAGTGAGGGATGCTTTAGAAAGTTGCATTTGAAGAATGGGGCTCTACAATGCCTAAGCTGTGGTACAACATGGCAGGAGGGAAACCTAAGGTACAGGCTGATTGTGAGGGTAGGAGATAAGACCACCGATGCTCCTTTTCTGTTGTGGGATAAGGAGTGCTCTGAAATTGTGGGAAAGACGGCTTTTGATTTAAGGAGCAAATACTCGGCGGTATGTTTTAACACAACAAAAAATAAAGGACTACACAATACAGTGTTTCTATTTCAACACTTTGTTTTTTTTTTTTTTTGCCAGGATGGGTCTCCTCTGCCAACTGGTATGGAAGAGGTCCGTAATAAGGCTATGGTCTTCAAGATTTCTGTTAAGAATGATCACTTCAAGAATAGAGCAATAGCTATACCTGTGGTTGCAATAGCGCATGATTCAGACTTAGTTGATCATTACTGCCCGTGTTTAAGTGATGATCAAGATCAGCTATCTAGAATGCTAAATGAAGATGATCAAGATGCAGGGTCTGATGTAAGTATTTTGGTTATGGTCCCTTGATTGAAAAAAACTGGATTCTTAAGAGTCTAACTCACTGATGGTTGTTATTTATAACAGGAATCTGAATCGGGTGATGAGGCAAGCAGTCCAAATCCTACTCTGGGTAAGAAACAAAAGTTGGAGGAACAAGGAGAGCTACTGGAGTCAGTGTCATCCAAGAGGAATTTACTGGATCAATTTTCATCCAGTAGAGATGCAAAGAAAACAAAGAATGCTTTTGTTAAACAGGAGAAGAGTTAATGTACTGTTCTGTGATCAAATGATGGACAAAGATTATTGGAATTTGGTGATTTGCAGGCACTATGGTGTTGTAATCAGGATTTTTATAATATGTACTCCTAAGTACATATTATTTTCTAATTGGTGGTGTTTTCTAAACAGGATTCTTATAATATGTACTCCAAGTACATATTCATGCTGCTTGGCCCTAGACATTAAGCACTTTTTATAAGTGTTTTTTTATGCTACTGTTTATTTCTAAATTTGTATGCTTTATTTGATGGATTCTCTATTCTCTTAAATCATTGCAGGTATGCCATAGAAAATAGGCACTTTGTATAAGTGCTTTCTTATGATACTGTTATAAGTGACTTTATTATGCTTTATTCTATGCTTTGTCTATTTTCCTAAATCATTTCAGGTATGAATAGGCAGAGATCAGTTAGCATGCACAAGAAACAGTATGATAATGAAGGCTACTGGCAGTGGATCAAAATAATGTACTTATCTTTTAGCAATAGTAGTTGTCCCCTTTTGTTCCTTGAACTTTCAGTCCACCTGAAAGAAATGAATTGTACTTATATCAGTTCCAATACTGTATCTCTGTATTGATTTTCTTTTATTTGAATGAATAAAAAAACGTAAATAACCATGTCATACCTTATACACATATTTGACTCCAATCAATCCATTTGAGCTTTAGTGGCTTTTCAGGACATTACACAATATTCATAGGACTATAAATTCAAGTACAATTCAAATTCAAATATAAATGGAAGATAAAGACAGACCAAATTAAAATACAATTGCTTTTCCTAAATTTCATATTAAAGTTATCTTTAGGAAAACATCTTTATCTAATATCACAAATAAGGACTAAAATTATATTTCAAAGTCAAGTTGTCCTTGCTAAATAAAGGTAAGCTGGATTTACTTAACTTCAAGTAAACTCTTATCAGATATTGGAAAAGAGTTTAGTGCTCAATCAAATAGTTGAATAATGGACCAATTAAACAGAATAGAAGCAAATATGTAAACTCTTTTCATGTAGTGAAGTTTTAATTCTTAGTCAACTACTATTATAAAACCTTGAATAAAGCAGTACACTGAAATTTTAACAAAAAATGTATAGTTATCGGAACTATAACACTAAACAAATAGAATCAAATCATGGAGGTACACATGAATTGTTTTCCTCTAATGACTAATTATCTCCAACTATAACTGTTATTGTATTCCAAAGTGTGCAACCTTCATTTCATTCAAAGAGGACACTAACTAATAAATTACAGAAAATAGATCAACATTTACACATCTGGACAACAAGGTTAGCTAATTAAGTCTGCACAACGTAACTCCTTCATTTGTAGTCTTTCGCAGTAAGGAAATTCAATTTGCTACTGTTTGATGCTCCAAAAGGTTTAATAGTCCTCCTAGGGCAAGATTTGAACTCTGAAATCTAATGGCATCAGAAATTCATATCATCATTTGCCATTTGCTTGAAAACAAATGTTAGATCATGAGGAAATTTTTTATATCATAATTTAAGTCTATTCAAAAACAGAAGATAATAAGAGAAATAAACTGAGATTAAAAAAATGTATTGTACTGACATTTGTAACTTTAATTCAATGTGCTACTGTTTCATGCTCCAAAAGGCTTAATAGTATGCCATAGAATCATGGGAACTCTGAAATCTAAGTGCATCAGATATTACTATCATCATGTGCCAGGTGCTTGCAAACAAGTGTTAGAAATTGAGTAAATGAGTTATAACAGTTTTGAAGTCTATTCAAAAACAGAAAATAAAGAGAAAATTATACTGAGCAGCAAAAATAAAAGTTGGCTAACCAAATTGGAAAACAAAATACACATCTATTAATGTTTTGGAATTGTAATCAAAACTTCAACACAATATATTGCAGGATAAATCTGGGAATAAATCCAATCTTTTAAATTTGTGTCTTTTCTGCTTCCAATAGATGTAATCATTAATTAATAAAGTAATAGCAAATTCTAGGGAATTTCATTTTCCTTTAATGGTTTCCACTCACATATAGTCAGATATTCACATTTAAATGCAAAGTACACCATTCTTTTTCAATTACACCTTTCTTTTCAAATAAACTCACTACTGTCAAAAAAGAATTCACAAAGCACTGAGCAGTTCAAATCAATGAAGAAGTTAACAAAATCAACTGTAATCGGCACCAAAAGGAAGGATACAGTTTCAAATAAAGGTACGTTACTGATCAGAATTCATCAAAACTTATATTACTGTCACGGTTTCATCAAAACTTATCATGCAATTTCATACTGTGTATCCTGTTATCAATTTGTGTTTATTTAAAGTGGTGAATTAAAATCTGTAGAACAAGGTTAAGCATACAGTACGGTTAATTTTGTACTAATTATTCATCATCAATTCTAGGAAAGCTAAAATTTAGAGCCTGAAATTTCAAACAATCAAGTGCAACAGATAATAATAATATGCAAGTTTTCTTACTTCAATACCCTAACAATACACGTATGCAGTTTACCATACATAAATCGAATTGAAATTCTATTTACATCTAAATTTTTGGGGCAAAAATAGTAGAGATTAGGTCAGCGTGAGTACGAAGGTTACTTACAGTCCTTCGATGATTTACCTCCATGATTTGAAAACCCTAATTTCAACATGGACGCAATTGCAAATGTCAACGACTGCGTTCATCCATAGCTCACTCAGACTCATTGAGGGTTTCTGTAGATTGAATTCGTAGAAACGACTAAGCCTCACCGTAGATATAGGGTTTCGCCCAATTCTATAGCTATCAATCGAACCCCAACACAATTGCGTCGGATCTCTAATCAAGAAGAAAATTGCGAACATTATCATATTCAAGCTTTCGACGCCATTAGCGTCTATCGAATCTGGATTTATACAATAGATAGATAGAGTTTGGGAGAAATGGACAGAGCGAGAGGTAGAAGACAGGAAACGGTGACCGTGGTGACGAAGGGTGTCCAGAAAGCATATTTCTGGACCCTTCCACAGTTGACTCATACGTTTATATATATATATATATATATATATATATATATATATATATATATATATAGTATTGGTATATACTCCTTTTTGGTATATACTCCGTATATATATATATATATATATATATATATATATATATATATATATATATATATATATATATATATATATATATATATATATATATATATATATAGTATTGGTATATACTCCTTTTTGGTATATATACTCCGTATATATATATATATATATATATATATATATATACCTTTAAATACAGCAAATCATTCCTATATACGGAGTATATACCAAAAAGGAGTATATACCAATACTATATATATATATATATATATATATATATATATATATATATATATATATATATATACCTTTAAATACAGCAAATCATTCCTATATACAGAGTATATACCAAAAAGGAGTATATACCAATACTATATATATATATATATACCTTTATATATATATAGTGAGAAAGAGAGGTAGAGTTTTAAGTTATGGTTAAATTCTATATTGGTAGTGAAATATACTATTTTAGTATGCTTATATGTACATATGTTTTTTTTTATAGTACGATATTCATATTTGTTAAATTTGGTTTATTTACTGTGTTTATTATATTTAAATAAAACATAGTATTTCATTTAATTTATTGTTAAATACAATTGTTTGTTAAATCAATTTTGTTAAATAAGCATGTACATTTTAACTATATCTACTAAGATGATCATATTACTACTTATTTAATTATTGGTTTATAAGTATTTTCTGGTTTGTATGTTAGAAAATGATGGTGCGGAATATGGAACATTCAACACGCCAAAACGAGTTGCGTTTTCTGGTAATTAATTTCTTTCTATATTGCAATGTCGGTGCTATATATAGTGTACTATAATAATGTTAACATTTTGGATTTTTTTATTTTAGACAATTCAATTACAATAGAAATGTCAAGTGGTACATCTCAGATTACGTGTGTCAATGTAACACCTCAAAATAATAGCCGTCTAACTGGTACACACTACAGAACTCTTTCAGGACAATCTTTCAACGGATACAATGGTATGAATCATTATATATCTTTAAATATTGCCAATTGTTCTCATTATTGGATATGTTTTACTGTTTAATATATTTAATATGCTTAATTTATAGTAAATGATTAGAGTGTTATGTTTGGAGTATTTGAATTTGGGCAATTATAAAAAAAAAATTTCTACTTTTTCTATAATTTAGTGTATTTAATGTGGCAAATGTAACCCATATGCATTGCTTTATGATTAACTGTTTAATTTATTGTTTTATTGAACATAAAATGCAACATTCAAAAATCCGGGTGTAAATTTTTTTGGATGGTTAGTGCTTTCATTTTAAATGAAATGTCAGTCTGTTGGTATAGTGAGTTTTATTTTAATTATTTTTATTATACATATTAACGTGTGGTTTTTGTAATTTTGTTGTTTAGAGTGTTCGTATGCAATACAATCGGCAACTGCTAGATCTCAGCTGACATGTGTTAATTCAACATCTCAGACTGAAAAGCGTTTAGCCAACGGAAAAATTAGAGGTCTTTCTAAACAATTTTCTACAATAAAAGTATATTTGTTTAATTTTGTATATTATATATTTTGAATTTGGATTTGAGATTTCAAACCTTTTTTTTAATAGTTTTACAAAATATTACTCAATCAACGACATCGCAAGCTAACGTGCTCGAAAGTAACCCTATTGTGTCCTATGAAAGTCGAGGACCTTGGCATATTCATACAAATGGTAAAATTTCTATATACATGATAAATCTTTTTAGAAAGTAGATTGTTATAAATCCATATATGAATATTAAACTTTCATTTCATCTTTTAGATCAAACAACAAGGTCGTGCGTTGTTGATTACAATATCTCATCACCAGATGTTTCAATGCAACGTGGTTTGATGTCAGCATTTAATAGTGTGGTCCATGATACACCATCAAAATCTACAATTGGAGATCGTGAGTATAGATACAATTAATTGTAGATATTATCTAAATTTGGAGTACTAACATTTGTTTTTTGGTTAGATTATTACAACGATCTGGGTGATCAAACGTACTCTTGCGAACACTGCGGAGCAATGTTTTGGTTAGAGGAGCGAGTTAATAAATCTAGCGGTGTTCGAAATCCAAAATATTCACTTTGTTGCAGTCATGGCAAGATAAAGTTGTCCCCTCCTAATATTCCACCTATGGCAATCAGGCAGTTGTTCTTTAACCAGGACCAAAAGAGTACCCATTTCTTGAAGAATATTCGGTCATTCAACAATATGTTTTGTTTTACATCCATGGGTGGGAAAATTGACAGGACTGTTAACACTGGTGGTGCCCCCCCCGACTTTTAGGTTATATGGACAAAACTTTCACTTAATGGGTAGTTTACTACCACAGTCTGGTGGACGACCAAAGTTTGCTCAATTGTATATTTATGATACACAACATGAGATAGACAATCGTCTAACTTTATTGGGGTAAGTTATGTACGCTTATTTAATTTAAATAAATGAGCATTGTTGCTTATATATTTAGATTATGAAATTGTCTTTTTTTTCTTGCCAAACAGGGATGATCATTCAACAAATACAATTCATCGTGAAATTGTGAAAGACATCAAGGATGCACTAGATGAAAATAATGTTTTAGTCAAGAGTTTTAGGATGGCGAAAACAAATATGGAAAGTAATCAAAGAGTGGATATTAAAATAAAACTCATTGGTAAAAGGACCACGGATGCAAGGACATATAACTTGCCACAAGTTGGGGAGGTTGCGGCATTGATTGTTGGTGATTTGGATCCAAACATGGGAGAAAGAGATATACTGGTGGAGTCTCAAGCGGGTCATTTTCAAAGAATAACTGAACTAAATCCAGCATATCTACCAATGCAATATCCACTACTATTTCCATACGGTGAGGACGGATACAGGGACGATATACAGTTTAATAATGTGCAAGGCCGGAGTTCAAATGCACGAACTAAAATTAGCCCAAGAGAGTATTTTTCATTCCGTTTGCAAGATCGGCTCAATGAAATGTCAACATTGCTATATGCTAGACGATTGTTTCAACAATATTTGGTTGATGCTTATACCATGATAGAATCAGGACGGTTAGTTTATATTAGGTCGCATCAAAAGTCATTGAGGTGTGAATCATACAAATGTTTGACAGATGCACTAACACGTGGTGAAGTAGATCCTACTGCCCAAGGAAAGCGGATTATTTTGCCATCGAGTTTTACAGGAGGTGCGAGATATATGGTGCAAAATTACCAAGATGCAATGGCGATTTGTAGATGGATAGGGTATCCAAGTCTATTTATTACATTCACATGTAATCCTAAGTGGCCTGAGATAGAAAGATTTTTACAATCAAGGAAACTGAAAGCTGAAGATAGGCCAGATATAGTTTGCCGTGTGTTTAAAATGAAATTAAATGCACTGATAAAAGATATTAAGAAGGAGAAGATTTTTGGACTGGTGGATGCAGGTAAATTTTGTTATTTAATAAATGTAATTTTTTGCATATAATTGTTTTGTAGGCTTAAAAAAATAGACAATTTATTTGGGGTCTAATTTCACAGTTCCCGTGTTTGCAGTTATTTATACCATTGAATTTCAGAAAAGGGGATTGCCACATGCACACATTTTGATATTCTTGAGCAAGAGTAACTCTTATCCTAATCCTAAAGATATTGACATGATCATATCTGCTGAGATTCCAAGTCAATTGTGCGACCCTGAGTATTATAAAGCAGTAGAAGAATTTATGATTCACGGTCCATGTGGTGCAGCGAGGAAGAATTCACCTTGCATGAAAAATGGTATTTGCTCTAAATACTTCCCCAAAAAATTTGTGGAAAACTCAACAGTGGATTTTGATGGATATCCAATATATCAACGTCGAGATAATGGTCGTACAGTACGGAAGAATGGTATTAACCTTGATAGTAGATATGTTGTGCCACACAATAGATATTTGCTTATGAAGTACAAGGCTCATATTAATGTGAAGTGGTGCAACCAATCTATATCAATTAAGTACTTATTCAAATACGTCAACAAAGGGAATGATAGGGTAACAGCTGAATTCTACAATAGTGGGGTGGAAGAATCTACGGGGAAAATTGTAGATGAAATCAAAATGTACTATGACTGTAGATATATTTCACCCCCTGAGGCTGCGTGGAGGATTTTTGGCTTTGACATACAATTTAGGAACCCATCTGTTGAACGTTTGAGTTTCCATCTTCCCAATGAGCAATCAATAATTTTTCATGACGATGATTTGGTCGATGATGTGGTGAATCGACCAACAGTAGCTCAAAGCATATTTACTGCCTGGTTTGAAGCTAATAAAAAGTATGCAGCAGGGAGGGAGTTGACTTATTCACAAATGCCAACAAAATTTGTTTGGAAGAGTGATAAAAGAGAATGGCAACCTAGGCAAAGAAATTGGGCAATTGGGCGAATCTTTTATGTTCCACCAAATACTGGTGAGATCTTTTATCTTAGGTGTTTACTTAATATAGTTCGTGGACCGACTTCATTTGATGAGATTAAAAAGGTGGATGGTGTTCAATACAATTCCTTTAGAGATGCGTGTTATGCCCGGGGATTAATTGAAGATGATAAAGAGTATATTGATGCAATCACGGAGGCATCAACGTGGTCCTTAGCAAGTTCTCTACGGAAGTTGTTTGTTACACTTCTAACATCCAGTTCGATGGCCAAACCAGAAAATGTTTGGGAGATGGTTTGGCCATTCTTATCAGATGATGCTGAATATGTTTATAGAAGGAACCTATCAGTCCCAGGTATATTTTATTTTAATATTATTATTAAAATTGCTGTTTAAAAGACTTACATCGTACATCTGTCTTTTATTTTGTAGATTTAAACATGAATGAATCTCAAAAAAAGAATTTTGCGCTGCTTGAAATGGAGAAATTGTTGAATGCTTG